TTCAAGTTTGTCAAGAGCCTTCTGTATCTTTAGCCTATCTTCTGGAGTGTTGGCTATTCCTGCCAGCTTGGTGTCATCTGCAAATTTGATGAGTTTCCCATTACCGAGATGCCGATCACTTCTGGAGAAGAAATTGCAAACCTGAAAACAGCTTTGGTCAGACCAGAGTTGACAACCATGACAGAATGAACAGCTGGAAAATAGACCAGAACTTTGATATTCTTCTCCAGATGAAAAGAGAACTTGGAATTGCCTACATGTGCTCCAGACAGTTGTTCCTCATAAAGAGACCACCATGGGTTAGAGGTCTAGGAAATAAGGGATGACATCTTTGTCCAAACCATAATTGGCACTTTTATAGATACAGGAATTCACATACTTCCTTTCTTAATTATTTTTTGGAAATTGCTTATTAGCTGTTTTTCAGGGCATCATGTTATACTACATTGGGCAGGCTTCCTTCAATCCTTATCAAAATAAACAGAAATTTAAGGACTTAAAATAGTTTGGTGGAATAAACAGCAAAAAGGTGACTTAAACATTAATTTTGGAAACATTACAAATGGACTAAAATAGATTTAAAATTTATTTATTTTTGAAAGAAGATTTTGAAAATAATTATAAGAATACTTCCTGTGGGAACATGCTGCTGTTTTGAATACTTAAAATATTTTAGACATGTAAGATGTTGATGCTTTGATACTAGAAGGAACCAGAAAGAACTAAAGGTTATAATTAAGGAGAAGAAGATTTAATCTTATTAATACAGAATGAGGCTAAATAATGTATTGAAGGATAGTCATGAATAAGATCCACCAGATAATTTTGGAACCATATGCCATTACAAAAAGATTGAGTTTAGAAAATATTAAAGAGGAGAAAATTTTACCAGATAGGTCTGAGACTGATTTGAAAGTGAATTTAAAAATTACAGTCTAATGATCTGGAACAAGAAGTTACCCTGCATCTACAAATGAAACTGGCTGATATTTTAACCAAAAAAGGAAGAAGAATGAGCAGGATAACTTTCTTATATTAGAGTTAAAAAATACTTATTAAAGTTTTGAAGAATTTTTTTGAGAACAGACCAAGAAAATATGACAAGAAATCGAGTTTTGGGATTGTCAAAAGTAAAAGGAAGGAATATAAAGTTGGTTTATTTGATCAAGGTTAAAATAGGTATGTTATTGTCTATGGTAGCCCTTAATGACCAGGACTGAACTTTAAAGTTTGGCTTTCAAAATGTTGTTTATAGAAAATAGAAGTGGAAGAGATCATTTGTTGTAATTTAAGAAGCAGTAAATTATTAAAACGAACCCTGGTGGCACAGTGGTTAAGGTGCAATATTGAGACAAACTCTGCCCACAGCCTGGAGTTTGATCCTGGTTTAGCTAATGGTTGACTCATCCTTCCATCCTTCCAAGGTTGGCAAAATGAGGACCTAGATAGTTGGGGATTATAACCTGATATTGCAAAGCACTATGGGCTGTAAAGCACTATGGGGCAGTATATAAGTGCTATTGCTAAATTTATACTTATGATTTATTTGTTTTTCTTTACTACATTTTCCCCTTTCTTTTCTATTATTTTTTCTTTCTTTTTTGTACTATGTTTTCTTCTTGTTCTTTGGTTTGTACTAATTCATATCTAGTACATTATATTAAATCGTAATGTTCCATAATATATACACAATCTGTACCGTCCAAAGGAAGCACACAGTTGTCAGCTCCAGAAATAGGCTGGTGTTGTAAACTGCACCGTGTGATTTATGGGATGTGTATTCGCTTTAATATTGTGATTATCAACTTTGGTGGGTTTTTATTAGACGCCTTAGAGACGTGTCATCAGGTGGGATATTTACAGGACGGAACACCTGGGCGCCACCATGCCCCCGATCTTTTCCCCCCTCCGCAAGCTCGCGCACGCCCTGCGGTTTATGTCTGGCGTGCGCGCCCCCGCGCAGCGGACTCCTCGGACAGGGATTAATTGCGCGTGCGCGCGCTCCCCCAGCTCAGTAAGAGCAGCAGCCACAGGCGCAGGCGGGACTTAACATGGAATTGATGCTGCGCGGAGCAGCGACGAGCAGAGAGAGGCTGCGTGGGGATGTTAGGCGGGACGGCCGCCGGGTCGATTGACTGGGCGCCCGATTGACGCCGCCTTTTTTTCGGAGGATCGTGATTCCCCATCCGGAGCTATTCTTTGCCCGCTCCGTCAGCTCCGCTTCCCTCTTTGCTGGAGGTGAACCCGTTCTCAGGAGCTTCGCGTCCCAACGGGTTAACTTAACCCGCCCTCCGCCTCCTCCTCCTCTCCTGGGTCTTTCTGGGCTGCGATTTAGCTTCAGTTCGTGATTTTCTTCCCCTTCGCTTTCTCCTCCCTATCCCGAAGCTCCTCCTCTCTGCCCCATATACTAACTCCCGTTGTTTCTCCCCCCTCCCTCTTCTCTTCTTCCAGCCAGCAAGGTTGCTGTCCTTCCCAGCGTGCCTTATGAAGTCATACCTGCCCTAGCTCCCTCCCTGCGCGCCCACAGGTCCGGTGCCTGTGCCATCTACTTGGTTTTTGCAAGCCGTTTCTCACTTTAAAAAACAACAACAACCACCTCCGCTGTGCTGAAAAGAGAAAATTGCCCTGAACTACTTCCACTTTCACTGCTTTGGGTTTGTTTTGTATTTTTTCTTCCCCCATCCTGGATTTCGGATTTACTTCCTTGAGATGCCCTCTGACAGAAGAACTGGTATGTCTCTGCTCCATCGCCTGATTTGTTACCTGCAGGATGCCGAGAAAGTTGCCCGTTTCCAAAAACTATGTGGCGTGGAAGCACTTCCAGACTGGAGGTCTGTCTCCTTTGCTCAGACGGTGGACGCAGAGCACCCCTTGGCCAACGGGAATTGCGCCGCTGCCAAGACCCAGGGTGATAGTGACAGGCGATGCGTGTCCCCGGGCTCTTCCAACGCGGAGGAGAAACATGACGAGAGCCACTCAAATGGTTTGAAGAATGGGATGGTTTCTGAAGACACCTGTGGAGTGGAATCGCAGCCACCAGCATCCCTGGAGAAGCGGAAGAAATGGGCCTCAAAAAGCCATCCTCGCCGCAACTCTCTAACTGGAGAATCCATATTGCAGAAGTTCAGAATCCATAATTTTTTCCTTTATTACCTCTTCAGCTTTGGCACAGAACTGGGCAATGAACTTTTCTACATCATATTTTTCCCCTTCTGCGTCTGGAATGTGGATCCTTGGCTGGGCAGGAGACTCATCATCATTTGGGTTTGGATCATGTATTTCGGCCAGTGCACCAAAGATGTTATTCGTTGGCCGAGGCCTGCTTCTCCCCCAGTAGTGAAGCTGGAGGTTTTCTACAATTCTGAATATAGCATGCCCTCAACTCATGCCATGGCGGGCACGGCCATTCCTGTCTCCTTATTTCTACTCAGTTATGGACGGTGGCAGGTAAGGACATGGTTTAGTTTAATATTGAGATATTTCATGTTTGTTTGTGGCTGGTGAAACAATTTTCTGAATATATGAAACACCAATTTTACTTTTCTAATCCATTCTAAAATGAAAAGTATCTTTTCCCAGGTAAATGCAAAGCTAGGAACTTTGGAACATTTTAATCTCAGCCTTAGCAGCATGAAAATTAGCCTTGAAGCCAGGTGATATAGGCCACACCTGAATTTGAAAATAAAAAAATACGGTAGATTTATTTTCTGTTTTCTTTCTACATTACTTAATTGGTTTAGATATTTGTCACAATTTACAGAGATCAGTAAAGCATTCCAGAATTTCTCCTGTCTTAAATAATTTTCTTTAGTTTAGAAGAATTCTAGTAAACTAATATATGTTCTAATATATATAAGGCCCAAAATCAAAAATATTGATTTTTTGGGGGGAAATCTTGAAACCTAGTATCAAATTCCTGTATCAAAACGGAAAGCAAGGCTGCATATTTTTCACAGGATTATGTTTTGTCAATGTATCAAAATGTATAAAATTATTTGCCATAACTTGAGCTAGCCATAATTTAACTTTCATTTTGAATGCTCTTATTGTTTGTAACAGCAAGTTGATTTTCACTTTAAAAACACATGTTTAAATCATTTAAATGAGTGGTCAAATCCACCATAAATGCTATATCCGTGAGCCATTTTTTAGTTTCAAATTCTGACACAAAGTTTGATTCCATAAATGATTTTATTTTATTTTGCAAATTATAAAAACTTAAATATTTTACCCCAACCTAGCTATCTTACTTCAGAACAGTCAATTATATCCCCATAACCACTGCCCATACTTTTAAGGTTCTCCTGGAATTGGCAGTAATTCAGGCCCTTGGACCTTATCAAATTCACACTTTGATGACAGTTTGCATGACATCCATTTTCAAAGCTTTTGCACATAATTGTATTTGATATGCTGCAGTGATATTTCATCAAGCATCAGTTGCTGATGGCAATTGCACCGTCTTCTATCAGTTTTAAAAGTTTCTTTTTCTTTTTACCAACCATACCTGTGGTGCTATCAGTAGCTATATCAGATATGTTAGTAAAGAAAATTGCTTTAATGTCATTTTTACTGCTTCATACAAATCAAGACATTTAGTTATGTCTTTGAATGGCACCAAAGAAGCCATTTCTTCAGTGTACTCAATTATCAACACCCCTAATAAAAATGGCAAGTTGAGCCATATTTGTAGCATCAGTACTTTAATCTATTGCCAAAGAATAAAATTTAAAATTAGCAGCTTTACTCTTCAAAGCTCTTTTAATTGATTTTCCTGTTTCATCAATTTGCTTGGCTACAGTATGGCAAAACCAAGTGATTTTAGAAAAATCAGTTTAAAAAAAAAAGGATAATGTGCCACACTTTCCATTCATTATTTAATAAACTTATCATCAATAAATAGTTTTTATTTTTTTGCAATCAGATTTGCTACCTCATAATTTGGTTGCACAATAGTCTGTTTGAATTTAAAAAAATAATAATTGTTGAGATGACAGACTTTTTTCAGTTCTGCTATTTTGTCTTTATGAAACAATTTGCATCAAATTTGGCCCAACATGTTTTTGCCTATAATGTCCTAAGATTAGTTGTAATCTTTGAAAACTGATACGATTTCCCTACAAATTAAGCTTATTGCCTTATTATTTGTCTCAACAGAAAAGTACTTATCTGTCTATGTTTCTTTGAACACTTTTCCTTCATTCACAGTTTTTGGGGAGTTCTGTTTTCTTTTGACATGATGTTGAAGCCATATTTAGGTAAAAAAAATAAACAAGCAACCATTTTTTCAAGTATTAGCAATGCTGTATATGTAAATATATCAATATTATAAGCAAAAAAACTTTTCCATTCATTTTTGTAGTTACTCCAACATAGCTGCTAAAAAGCTTTTATTTAACTTATTAAATTATTTTACAAAGCAATGCATCAAGCCCATGTACAAAATTAAATTAAAAAAAACTTGCATATTTGCTTTCCAGCAAAAAAAAATGCATTTTTTGGCTGGATTAATAATAATAAAAAACACACGACTTCACAGGCAAACATGCATCATATTTATCAGTATTATTAGTAAACATTGCATTTTACTTGCCTAGACATACAAGCCCATGTAACATCTGAAATGTGCAGTTTTGATTTATCAGACTGTGTGATGAGTTCGCGCAGCAAAGTTAGCAAGAATTGTGCTGCACAATCCCATATGCAATGTTCCATGGTCACCTACACCAGGGGTGTTACCTCAGCTTCATTGAAGGCCAAATCAAGGTTGTTTTTAACCTCCGGGGGTGGAGTGGGGGGCATGGCCAAAGGGAGGTGTAGTCAACTCAACATCACTCGTGTCAGTCCTCTGCCAGTGGGCCCTTGGCCGTGACAGTCTTCTGCCAGCGAAAATGGAGCTCAGGGCAGGGGCACATGCAGGAGGCCTGCAGGAGGCCATTGCAGCCGAAAATAGAGTTCCATTTTTTCTAGCAGAGGCACAGGGGGCCAGTCCTATGCTGTTTCCAGGGCAACCTCGCGGGACAGATCCTTGAATTTGACTCCCCTGACCTATGCAGTCTTCACTCAAGTACCATGCAGTCAAGTCATGAAAAATATTGCTAAAAATCACATAACAATATTATAAATTTACTAACTTGTTGGGCCACATTATTAGTTGTCCAGAATTACCTGCAGCTTGTGGACTATGGGTTGGACAAGCCTGCTCTAGAAGATTTAGTATTCATTCTACTGTTGTCTTTGATATTTTCCTTCCATAAAGCTATTGCATGTCTCTGGAAACAACGTTACAGTAGAAGTTGCTTAAATTGGAAGTGAATTTGGGTGGATTGGAATTATGACATAATACTTTACATATACTTTTGACATAATTATGACAACATGCATACTACTAGATTAATAAAAGTTGTATCCATGATTCTGTTGGTGAAGTTCTGTTTAACTTTTATATTTCATTGCATTAATTCTAAACGATTGTATTGGTTAAGATTGAAATCCTTCCTTCTATACTTTGAAAGAATTTTTCAGTTTGCAGGCAGTTTCCAGTCTAGTAAAATGAAGAGATTTCCTTCCTATCAGTCTGCTCCAAATGGTCAAGGGAGTTACAGGGAGAGGAAGATATTAGTACCAAGTCTATTTTTCCTTCCATCATGGAGATACCCATACGTGAGAAAGATTGAGATTGAGATTCCCTCAATGATTTTACCACTGGCCACGCCTTGTTATCTAAGACATCAGGAAAATTAGTAATAAGTGAGTAAATAACACCTTATTATGCAGCACAGACTAAGGAAGTTTTCCTTTGTAAAACACAAAGTTAATTTATCTTTATTATAAGAAATACCTACTTTCTTCATTGGATCAGCGATTCACTAGTTAGTATTCCTTTGAAGTTAACTCATTTTTTTCCTGTTCAGATACAGTTGGACTGTACTATGTCCCAAAAATTTATAATACTGTATAATACTGTAATCTATGTCTAGATTACTACAATTGGGAGAGAATAAATAGTACTATGTAGTTGTTTGATATATTTTAAATATGAAGCCTTGAGATCATTGGCCTTCCTTAATTTAAACTATCCACATACATGTCATTTTTCCACTCTCCAAAAATATTTAAAGAGACTTCTTCAAAGAATGTGAATATGCTCATTTTAAATATTGTTTCTGGGTCCTAATAGCTGAGTTATAGGACATATGAGTATCTTATAAAGATTTGAAATTCTCCTAACTGAGGAACAAAATATCAGGCATTTTGATAATACAATGAAGTGTTGCTGAGGTTGCAGTATCTATAGAAACTTCTAATGCATAAACGCCAGAGGCAACTCTTCAATGCTTCATGTACAATTTAAACAGCAAGTCAAAATTATTTTAAGTCATATTAAGATGGAAACCTCATCTCTGATACATAGTTTAAAATATTGATGAACATTTTAAATTAAATAATATAAAAGCTATGAGAATTATTCTTTTGGAATTATTAGGAAGGGAACCAAAAGGAAACAGAGTTGGCCAACTCAAATAAAACATATAGAACTTGTAGTTAAGTTGGAGCGTTTTAGTTAGTAAGTACAAATATTTCTCTTTCTTCCTGGAATAACATGTGCCAAGAAGAATTTACTTCCCTGAAAGTGCTTGTTTGATTGCTGGGAGATGCAAAACATTGAACTAGATGGGCTGTTAGCCTAATCCAGTAACAGAGTTCATTTCATGCAAGTTCCATTGTTGACAACTGTTTTATTTATTACTCAGTGAGTCAGTGGCTAAGATACTGAGCTTGTCGATCAGAAAAGTCAGCAGTTCAGCAGTTCGAATGCCTAGCGTCTCGTAATGGAGTGAGCTCCTGTTACTTCTCCCAATTTCTGCCAGCCTAGCAGTTCGAAAGCATGTAAAAATGCAAGTAGGAAAATAGGGACCACCTTTGGTGGGAAGGTAACAGCGTTTTGTGTGTCTTTGGTGTTTAGTCATGCCGGCCACATGACCACGGAGACGTCTTCGGGCAGCACTGGCTCTTTGGCTTTGAAACAACACACAGACAAACACACATGGGCTTTAGGCCATAAGTAACTAGCTTTAAATAAAATGTTTCATGCATTTACTGATCAATCAATTCATATATTTGCAAAGTACCATATTTTTCGGAGTATAAGGCACACCTTTTTCCTCAAAAAAGCGGCTGAAAATCTGGGTGCGTCTTATACACTGAATACAGCATTTTTTGCCTTCCACAGCCCCGCCCTCTTCACCAAAATGGCTGTGCATAGCCTTATGGAAGCTTTCAGAGAGCTGGGGGCTGAGGAACGCAGAAATCCCCCCCTGCCCCCAGGAGCACTCGATAAGCCTCCATAAAGCTATGCATGCAATTTTTTTGACAAAAAGCATGAAAAATGGCCCGGTTTTTGCTCATTTTTGCCTCCCCCCCATCCCCTCAGGAGCACGCTGCAA